TCGTTGACGTTCCCAGAGAAGAGGGCATTCTAGTCTATTTCTGATGCCTCGGATCTCATTTGGCAAAAGTTCCCTTGCCATATATTTAGCCTGGCCTCCGTGATTGCATACGGGGCAGAATATAGTTCGTAATCCCACAAAAGTACTGTGTGATCACTTAGACGGAGTGGAGGTAGGCAGTACACCTCGTCTATACTGTCAAGATCTTTGGTGAAGACGATGTCCAGACAACTAGCCTGTTGTCCTCCACACGCCCTAGTTGGAAATGGAACATGTGAAAGAAGAGCTTCTAGTGTTTTCTTTAGAAGACGGTAATCGAAGGTATAATTCGGTCACTTCGCATGTATATCGTCCCATTGAATGCAGGGTCATTAAAGTCCCCCGTGAGTACAACGTTTGGTTGACTGCCGATCTCTGATATGCTTTCCAGCAGGCACGCATCTGCGTCGGGATCCGTCCGTGGTGGTAGGTAGATAGTTACGATTTTGACGAACTGCGACCCCCGTGCATTTACTGTCAGCCAAATGGCTTCTGTGTCGTCCGAAATCATGTTAGTCCTCCTGAATACCGTAAAGTGACGAGAAAGAAAAAGTTGTCACAACGGAGGGCGCAGTTCAAGTCACACACTATAAGGAACTTTTGTATCAAATCTCTGCATACCTGCCTATAACTCAGAGAAGAGAGATTGCGGTTATTTGGGCAGATCTCATGTGACTGTGTACCCTGACCTTTTACTAATTTTGTGGCTCGCCTCTGCATCCTTTCGAGTAGATTTCGGTCCTACTGCATCCAAGGTCTCCAGGTCTAGAGTACATACTCAAGCTGTGGCCTTACAAACGTGCCGAGGACTTTGGAGAAGCATTCTTCATCGACAACTGTGAATGCCCGCCTGATGGCGCACAGCATTGAAGTTGCGGCTTCTGCTGCCTTGCGACATTGCGTAGAAGGCTTCAGGGTGTCTGCAGTCCGGATTGCGAAATCATCCTGAGCCTCTGCTTCTCGGAGTGGCATTCTGTTTAGATGACAGTGCTACGTATTATGAATCTGACTTCGATTCCCGAGACACAGTATTGTGCATTTGTTCAAATTGAAGGACACGGGCCATCTGCAGGACCATTTGTCCAATCAAAGAAGATGTTCCCAAAAGTTGGTCTTGTCGGCAGCATTGTGGATGACTTTCCAGCTAAGAGATCTTCTCCTCTGCTTAGCAAACTCTTTTAAGGCTTTCTCGAAAATAGTTTCTCTCCCGACTTTAGGAAGGATTCTATTATTATTCTAGCTTTTAAATCTGGCTCTCGTCCTGAGATGCAAAACTATCGAGGTGTCCATAAAGCACCTTCTCTCGCCAAAATCTTCGAAAAACTTGTTGTCATGAAAATTACTGACTTCTGTACAGCTAATCAAGTTATTAACTCCTCTCACGTGGCTATTTACTCAATCGCTCTTGTAAAACGTGCCATAAGTCGTTTTTCGGTCTGCTTACTTCACTTCGTAAGGATCATTTATCTTTCGCTGTTATTTATTTTAATCTAAGTAAAACCTTTGATCAAGTGTCACATAGAAGACTCTTGGTGAAATTAAAAGCTCTACAAATTCGCAGTCCCCTTAAAGACTTTATGAATTCATACCTGTCTAATCGTAAACAAAAGGCTTTAGTGGGATCTTCATTTTCCAGTGAGAGCCCTATCGTAAGTGGTGTCCTACAAGGTACCGTTTTAGTTCCTCTTTCGTTCCTGCATTACATAAATGTTATCTCATCGGCAGTTAAACGTTCTCAATCCTTTATTTTTTCTGATGACCTCAAATGTGTTTACTCATTCAATAAATCCACGACCCTTCATTGCTTGGAGCAAATCCATGCTGACTTGCTTGCACTTTCAGCGTAGAGCTCAAAATGGCTAATGGAATTATCTCAGTCTAAGTGTCGCTATATGTGTTTTGGACCTGATAGGCTATCCCAGCCAGTGATCTTTCAAGGCACACCTATGACTGAATGTACCACCATCAAGGATTTACGTTTAAGCTACGGAAATGATCTCCATCACTCCCCACACACTGATAAAATTACGGCCAAAGCTGCCCAGAATTGTGGCTTTATTTCCCACAATTTCAATCTTCCTCAAATTGAATTAAGATTTATCGAATGTGTGCACTTCCCATTCTCGAGCACTGTTTTCCATTGTTGGTTTGATGAACGAAGCTAGTCGCTCGAAACTTTAAAATGTTCAAAGACATTTGACTAGATGACTCTTAGGTACGTAACACCCAAACATTTCCTACTCAGATAGATGTCAGCTAACTAACCGAAAATTTTTGTGGGTTCGAAGACTAGAGGCAGGCTTCTGTTCTCTCCTTCGCATTAATAATAGTTCAAATCTTCCTCGAATTTTATCCCTTACCCTTGCCTATACAATCTTCGCAATTATTCCTTGATTATTCCTCATTCCGCTTCTTCCATCTCTAACCGCTCTCCTTTTTCGCTTTCAGGTATACCTTCCTCTGGAAAACCTTCCAATAAATAAAAGATCATCAGATGATCTACATACTTTTAAGAGAAAGCTTTGTCTTTATTTGAGTACTGACTCGATTGAACATCTATTTTCCTCATCCTTCCCGGACAAATTTCTCTATGGCACTGAGAAAAGGCCATTGGGAATTTTGGACGCCACCACGCAATTTCCGTATCCGCTTACGTTTCTCCCTGTCGTGATGGCAGACTTGCACAGCATCTACCGTACTCCCTCTTCCCCGCTCCCTACCTGGATCCGGCGTCAAGGCAGAGTCAAGAAGACCAGGGATGGGGTGGGTACATGTGGCTGGCACGGCCAGAGCCCCACCTAGGCGTGCCACCACACCCCCTGGTCCATACAGCAAATGATCAGGATTTTTCACTAAAGACAACAACACTCCAACAGAGACCAGAGCGACGAGGATGACTGGGGAGCCATGCCCATCACCTGCGTACCCAGCAGGAGCGCAAGCGCATCTACCGGCAAAGAACCAGGTGTCAGGGAACTGTCAACGCGTACCAGGCAGGGAGAGCCATGGTTTGCTGATACTGGCATAGCAGACGCTCTCAGACCTTTTGACCTGGAAGGGCGACACGCGGTCCTGCATATAGCTTGGGTCGTCGCCCTTCAAGTTAAGGTAACCAAACAGTCTTCGACTGAGTCGTCGACTGAGAGGCACTACACATAGACTACACCACAAACCGAAGTTCTGGGCCTGGTATGTGGATGATTCCTTCGTCGTTATCGACCGGGATCAACTGCTGGCATTCAAGGAACGTCTGAATGCGTTCTTCCCGGACATACAATTTACGATGGAGGAGGAAGAGAACAACCAGCTGGCCTTCCTGGATGTCCTCGTATGCCGCAAGGATTGTGGTGGACTAAAGACCAAAGTGTTCAGGAAAGCGACAAATACGATGCAAGTACTGGACTTCAACAGCAATCACCCAATCAACCACAAACGCAGTTGTGTTAGGACGCTCTATCGGCGTGTTGAAACGCACTGCAGTGAGCCGGAAGACAAGATTGCCAAACTAAAGTACCTCCGACGTGTCTTCGAATCCAATGGCTACCCGCGCAACTTCGTCAACCGGTGCATACGCAAAACGGACGAAAGGCCTAACCATACGGACACCAAAGTTTGGCGAGCGCTTCCATATGTCGAGAACGTTTCGGAAGCTGTTGGCCGCCTTCTCGCACCACTTGAGGGTTGGAGTTGCACACAGACCGAAGGCAAACATCAGGCGTCAGTTAATGAAACCGAAAGACCCACTGTCACGGCAAGAAACGTCAGGAGTGGTTTATCGGATCTGGTGCAGTTGCGGACAAAGCAACTACGTCGGAGAAACCGGAAGACAACTCCAAACGCGAATGGCCGAACACGCTGCAGCGGTGAGGAGAAATGACGCTAGCTCTCAAGTTTCGGCTCATTCGACGGGTTCCGACCACACATTCAAATTTGACGAGGCCAAAATTCTCTCGAACCCAACCAGCAGCCGCACAGCGGCGCATTATATATAGGCAGAATGGTATTACCGACAAAGACAAGGTAGACTGGAATGGCCATTTCTGGCCTATTAGCCGTCGTCAGCCAACCATACCCAAGCCCGAAGTGTGGAACACCCGAGCCTCGAACTCGCGACCTGTTGGTTTAGAAGTCCACGCCTTTATCTACCGGACCACGAGCCCGTTGCCCTGTCGGTTTTCGATCGGGAATATACAGTGGTAGGGGGCGCTCACCGATCGTTCATACGGAAGTCATTCGTTCCGTTGTGCCTTACGTGCTCTCTCTCGAGCCCAACCAGCAGCCGCACAGCGGCGCATGATATAGGCAGAATGGCAATGCCCCTTGTCTTTGTCGACAATGCTATTCTGTGCAGTGAGATGCTGGTGGGGGAGGATGTGATGGTATGATGCAACTGGCGGTGGTCTACCTCAGGTTTTCGTGGGCGCTCATGTGGCCTAATAGACCCATGCGGCGAACAAATGTGCAAGTGCAATGTGGACAGTGAAGACGGATGCGGCGAGTGTAGGCTGGTGCTCCAGGCACTGGTTCTCCAGTCTATGTACGGCGGATTCGCAAGTAACCGACCAGGCCGATGTGTGAGGTGAATGTGCGGGGGAGTGTGGACACGATAAGTCGGCGGCGTCGGTATCAGATTCGGTGATGGTGGATCTGGTGGTGGTGGGCGCACCGTGCGACGGGGTGTGGGTTGGGCCGAGAATAGTGGATGTGCGAGATGTGCTGAGTGTGATGGAGCTGGTGGTGGTCGGCTCGCTGGTCTGCGGAGTGTGGGAGGGACTAGGCTTGATAGGTGTGCTGGGCGAGTCAGGGCTGCGGCCAGTTCTGCTCTCGTGGATACCCATGTGGCCGAATAGGCCCATGCAGTGCATGAATGTGCGAGGGCAGCGTGGGCAGTGGTGGCGAATGCATAAAGTGTAGATTGGTGCTCCAGGCCCTGGTTCGCCAGTCTCTGTGCGATGGATTCGTCAGTGACTGACCAGGCCGATGTGTGAGGTGAAGGTGTGGTCGCAATGACAGCAGGTGTAGACGAGGTCCCCACTTGTGTCGACGGTGGTGGTGTTGATGTTTGTTGGTGTGTCAGAGTTGTGTATCATGTTGATGTGCGTGGCATACGACAAAACTGCAGACGTTGAGGCAGTGGGAGGAGGAGGAGGAGGAGGAGGAGGAGGAGGAGGAGGGGAAGAATGGAAGTGGTGGCTCGGGAGGGCAGTCAGAGTTAGTTGATGGCGTAGGAGCCGAGGAAGCTGTGGACGGACAGAAGACGGTTGGTGTAGTCCGGGTGCTGCAGTTGGTCCGAAGGTGCCCAACAAATCCAATTGGCGTCCGGAATGTCCGCTTACACCGTAGACACGTAGGAGGCGCTTGGGCGTTTGTGTTGCAAGGTGGGCGCAGCTGAGGTTTGCGGGATTCTCGTTTGGCCTTCACGGCGGCGACGCAGTTTGCCTCGTAGACCGCTCCACCTGTCTTCACTGTCCTCCTCCAGGTCGGTCGCTCTCGAGCGAGGTCTTCCCAGTTGGCGAGATGATCTGCAGACGCTTCAGCGAGGTCTTCAGAATGACCTGGTATCGACGGATTTGGCCCCCTTGGCGACGTGAACCCACTGCGACATTCCCATGGAAGACTCGTTTAGGTGTCCGCTAGTTGTCCATCCGCACGAGGTGGCCGCTCCAACGCAGTGGCAGTTGTCTGGGCATGGCGTAGATGCAAAAGATTCCTGTCCGCTCTAGAACGTCAGTGTCGGGATCCAGTCCTTCCACCTCAGCTCTAGTATCCGCCGAAGAGAGCTGAGGTAGGTTTAATTGAGTCTCCGCGCCTGCTTCTTGTTCTCCGTCCAAGTCCCTGTTCCGTACAACAGCGTCGGCAAGATGACTGCCATATAAATCCTCAGCTTCGTGTTGAGATGGAGACAGTGACGGTTCCGGACAGTGTTTTGCAGACGGCGGAGGGCATGGTTGGCTTTGAAAATGCGGCGGGCAACTCTGTCGTCGATTTTGGTGCTGCGGGAGATGGTGGTGCCAGATATGTGTGGTTGTACACCACTTGTATTTCGGTTCCGCTCACGCTGATTTGCGGCCCATTGTGGGCAGTGCTCGGTGGTGGTTGGTGCTTGACCACCGTCCCCTCCGTTTCGATGATCATACCGAAGCTCCTTTGCATGTCCCTTTCGGCTAAGATAAGTTCGTGGACGGCGGTTATGGATACACGCGACTGGAAGTGTGTCCGCCTGTAGTTGAGGTGGTGGCCGTCCGTCCTGCAGGTGATGCGGATCACGGGACGTTCGTCACGATAGGCATTTATCAGCATGACAGATAACATAAGACTAAAGAGAGTAGTCGCAATGACGCAGTCATGCTCCATTCCGTTAGGCACTGCGAATGCCTCTGAGACAGCTCTGTTAGCCGTGACGCGCGTCATCGTGCCAACTTGGAGCTGACGCACCATCTGACAGCCGAATTTCTGCATAATTTCCCACAGTCCGTCACGGTTCACCGTGTCGATGTCTTTTGTCAGATCCACGAAGGCAGTTACAGATGGATCCACATGTCCTGGCACTTCTTCCGCAGTTGACAGGCGGAAAAGATCATGTCCGTGGTTTTACGACGATGATGGAAGCCGCACTGGATTTCCGAAAGGAGACCTTGTTCTAGTTGTTTGTCTAGACGATTGACAAGGATATGATCGAAAATTTTTCCGGCGATGATGAGCACGGAGATGCCTCAATGGTTTTCGCAGATTTGATGGTTTTCTTTCCGTTTGTGTATATGCACGATTGTAGCGTCCTTAAAAACCTGTGAGACTTCTCCCTGACGCCACATCTCCTGAAAGAGCGCCGTCAGATGATCCCTGAGTTGGGAAACACCGTGATTGTAGATCGCAGCAGGGATCACGTCCGATCTGGGTGCCTTCCCGCTGGAGAGCTGCTGCACGGCCCTGATGATTTCGTAGAGAGAGGGCAAGAGGTCGAGGTAAGCGTTGGCCTCCACTTGCGGCAGACGGGCGATGACAGCGTCAAAAATGGTGAAGCGATGGTTGAGGGCGTCTCGAAAGTGTTCGGCCCACCTTCGTAGAATTTGTGCTTTCTCGGTAAGTAGGGTGCTGCCGCCGGCGCTGAGAAGAGGTGTAGTACCTTTGTTTGGTGGACCGTAGACGGCCTTGATCGCGGAGAAGAAGTTCTTCCATTCGTTGCGGTCCGCATACCCTTGAATCTCCTCTTCCTTGCGGGCCGCCCAGACGTCCTGTGTCTCAAGAAACCGCTGTTGCACAAGGTGGCGACTAGGGTTGAAGGCAGCTTTGTTGTCGTCGGTGGGGCGGTGGACGTAGTCTTAGTGCAGGCGGCTCTTCATGGCGAGCAGTTTGCTAATAGTGGCATCGTTGTCGTCGAACCAATCCTGGTGTTGGCAGCGTGCGCGACCGAGGACAGCCAAAGCTGCCGCCTGTACTGCAGCCCGCAGTTGACACTATAATAATAATTATTATTATCATCATTATAGTTGATGACGGTTTACACGCATTGTCGGGCAAACTTTAAACACAAATCCGGCCAGCAGTGAAAAGCTCCTGTGGAAAAGGAATAAAAATATAGTTGATGGTGGTTTTTATGGTTTGGGAGGTTCTGGAGAAAAAAAACTGCTGACGGCAAACTGTCGACCGTCAAGAAGAGAGGGGTTGCACGGCATCGGATATTATCCGTCGCCATTTCTTTTCATGAAGTTGGGGCTAGTCCAAACAGAAGCGCCGAAGAAGAGCCGTCACTGTTGGCCAGAGAAATTGTCCCTGGTGAGACCGGCCGAAGGGATCAGGGATCACGAACGCCATCACCACGGTACATTCGATCAATGGATTCAGCACCCAAAATTTGTGGGAGTTTCTCTGAATGCAAAAATCGAGTAGGAGTTCTCTTAAACAAAGGATAGTTTTGTAGAGTTTTCACATTCCTAGATAATTTATTCCAAATAACAATTATGTTTGCAGAAAAGAGCCTACGATATTTAACAGTAAAAACCAAAGGAAGAAATAGAAAGATCTCACAGTGACCGTTACCTCGAGGGTGGACAAGATGTCTTAAAGTAGTGAGTGGATTAAAGGTGCGATTATATGACAGCTCAAATGGCCAAATAGTCCCTTTTGTAATCTACGAAACCACGCTGAATCAAGGCCTGTAAGTCGGCAACGTACTTGGTACGACAAACTGTGGTGTTCCGGGGTTAAAACTGTCTTGGTAAAAAAATGCTGGACGGATTCTATTTTCTCCCACTCAGCAGCACGCCTGAGGCTAAATAAAAACGAACAGTATTCCGGGCCAGTTCTAACGTACATGTTATAAAGGCGCATTCTAATATCGTTGGTTGTTCTACGTGTTCTGGGGATTATCAGGGCGCAGTGCTCCGAAAGATTAAGGTTCCTGGAGTATGATAAACGCAGATCCTTAAGAACTCGGGGCACGGATCTCCACGGAGGCGTTCTCGTCAGCGGCGGCGACGGCGGCATCAGCGACTGGTAGGTTGTCTAGTCGTTGAGCCAGCTCGTTGCATAAATGATGAAGGCGATCAGGCAGGGACAACAAGGCAACTTCCATCTTACCTGGGAGTCGCTTACCTTGAGGTCTCCTGCGAGGCTGTAAGCGAATCCGCATCCGCGAGATGACGAGGCGATGGTCGGTCCGCCCGTCGACCCACGGGATCGTCTTTGTCACCAGCACGTCCCGTTGGTCCCGCCTCCGGACATAATCCAGCAGGTGCCACCGACGCGACCGACGATGCATCCAGGTGGCCTTCTCTCGCATCGCTAGACGGAAGAAGGTGTCGGTCAGGATGAGTCGGTGTTCTACGCAGGTTCGTAGAAGAAACAGGTCGTTGTCATTGAAGCCGCTGGGACCAGGGGGACCCAGCACTCCTCTGCAGGCAGCATGGTCTGTGCCGACGCGGACGTTAAAGTCACCATTACCGTGCGCGCAGATGCACACACGGACCCCCTCGCCTGCTTTAGCCCGCCGCTCGGGGCGGTTACTGGGGTATGACCACCAGCCAAAACCTAGTTATGGGGAGCCACGGGCGAGAGTTGTGTGCCAGCATTTGGACGCTAGGCGTAGTCTGCAACTGCAAGCAGGTGAGCGACCTGCTTCGACCGTCACGTAAAGCCACCGCTGGACATCCCTACACCCCGATTGTTTGACAGCTGAGTTCGACGATGCTCATCGTGTGCTTCACTGAAAGGTGGAACAGGGACGGTGACATGCGCGTGAATTAGCTTATGGTGATAGTAGACTTTCGCCGCACCTACCGCATTCGCACCTCCCCCAACTAAACCCGATGCCAAAACAGAGTCAAGAAGACCAGAGTTGGGGGAGCGCGCAGATGGATGGCGCGGTCGAACAGCACCTTGACGTTCCACTCCACAGTCCCTGCTCCACACAGCAAAATAACCAGGTTTTTTATCAACAACAACAATTGGGCATGGCAGGGATCCCAGTGTGTGCGACGACTGCCGACAAGTGGGTCTGCCACCGCATCCCGAACTGTTGGCTTTTGTTATGGTGCGCAGTCCCATATGATCGCCGTGTTGGTCCAGCGCATTCACCAAGAAGCCCGTTTGGTGGGCACACACACACATATCCACGATATACCGCACACTAACCTACTCCGCAACAAGTGCATGCACAACAGCTTTCCTGAGTTTACCGTACTATGAGATTCGCCTCTACCATATGCGGTGTGACGAGCGAAATATTGCACCTCAGATCATGCATATGTCAATCAGTTGAAAAACATAACATTTGGTTTAGTCAGATCCATTAGGTAAAGAGCAGTTCCTGTATCGTACGCCCTAAAAACAGCCGTAACGCAACGTCAATTAATACACCCAGTCTCTATGGCAGTTGATACATAGGATCGGATAGTCGGCTAGTACATTAGGAAGAGAAGGAGATAATGAAACACTTGAGGACCTATCCTTAAGCGAAACCAGCACACTCCTCGCCGAAATAAATTTCACGCCCAGATAGTGGTGGCTCAGATCATTTTGGCCTGACTGTACAACGTAAACCATCCCAGAAGTGAGAGTCAAACTCTCATGGTTCATTCCTAGCGTGCGTTTTATGTTGATTTTACCCGTATGGGATACGACCCCCCCCCCTTGTTGCATCATAATACATGCGTACAAGTGATCGGGGCGTGAATGGCACGCGTAGGTCGGTTGTCTGACTCTTAGTCACTGAGTCCGCACCCATTTCCTGTTTTCTAGTTTCTATTTTGTTGTAGGGACAGAGTTTGTGAGGAAGAAAAAAATGTAATAGATGCCGCACAAGTCTACTTGACCATAAAAGTATTGACGCCATATCATCCGTGCGTCCATGCCAAGAGCATTATACTCACGACCAGCGGCCTATGAATAACGAGTTCACATAAGCCTGACTGAGAATGACAAGAAAAAAACAGTAGACGCGTAAATGTAACATTAAAAAATCAAGCAACCGGACAGTCAAGCTCTTGTATGAAATGCCTCTGTCCTCAGCGCTGCCTCGGCTGTAATAAAACAGAGAAAACGTCAGAAAGAGGGCGAAGTAAATCTGAAAATAGCAAACAACCAAATTGTAAAAAAAGAACGTGCCTTCTTGTGGAATCATCCGGTGACGTTGACGGTAACAGCACCGGCGCTCGGTTCCGAGAAACTTCAGTAAATTCTAAATCGACTAGTGGACTTGGTACGCCATGTGAAATATGCACTAATAACTATCAGTCAAAAGCACCAGCAAACAATTTCCAGAGACCTAAACAGCCGAATAACATAAAAATGATGTACACAAATGTGCAGAGTTTTTTCAACAAATTGGATGAAATAAAACTCACTGTGGCCCATTTCCAACCCGACTTGATAGCTTTAACAGAAACATGGTTAAATGCGCAGATAGAAGATGCTAGATGCTAGATGGTTTCCAGATTCTCCGAATGGACAGAAACGAACGAAGGGGTGGGGGGATTGCGATATTTATGCGAGATGGCATCGACTACGTCAGGGTTGAGTCTTCCCCATTTCGGCACATTGATTGTGAAATACTCAGTTGTTACTTGAAGCTGCCGAACCATTCAAGCCTCCATATGGCCCTGGTTTACAGACCGCCAAGCCAGCGAACGGATGCGGACGATGCACTTATCACCGAGATAAAAGAAATTTGTCGAAGCAAACACATAATGCTCCTTAGTGACTTCAACTGTCCAGGCATAGAGTGGGATTTGATGCACTGCACGCGATCAGAATACTCCTTTGAACAGAAATTTATGCAACTGATCACAACTGAGTTCCTTACCCTACATGTTAAAGTGGACACTCGATTCAGAGATGGGCAGCAGTACAGTTGTTTGGACCTAATCATCACTAGGGATGATAGTTGCATTCTCGGATTGGAATCGCACCCCCCCCCCCGTGGCCGAAGTGACCAATGCGTTATTGTTTGGGAGCATAGTCATTTTTCCGCACCCAAACTTCGAACAGCCGAGGAAAGAAATGTATGAAAAGGCGATGATTTCCCAATGAAAAATCTGCTACAGAAGGTGAACTGGAATGCAGCACAAGGACCTGAGCCAGAAAGCGATTGGCTCTTCTTCAAGAACATAATGCAGCAGTTGGTAGAGAGCTGTTGCCCACTGAAGAGGAAGACGCGCACATCCCGACCAGAGTGGATGACGTCAAAAATGAAGAAGAATCTTAAATTGAAAAGGGAGACTTTGGAAAAAGTACGCCAGATGTCAGCAACCAGAGCATTGCGCTGACTTCAAAACACAGAAGAATGTATGTCGGAATCTGTTGAGGAGGCAACGGGCACAATTTGAGTCAAAACTTTTAAAAAATATCCCGCAAAATTCAAAAAGTTCTTTGGATACGTGAATAACGCAAAACGCAACCGGGACTGCAGTCCCTGCATAAAGATCGCCGGGGCAATACGCAGTCTGACAACTCAGATAAGGCGAATGGGTTGTCCGACTTCTTCACGTCTGTGTATACTGAGGAGCCGGCTTTTGATGAAAGAGTTTACCCCCAAATTGTCAAAACAGACAGTACAATTAACACGGTGGACTTCACAACAGACACGGTAAGGAAACCTTTGAGTCAACTACAGCCCACTAAATCCCCTGGTCCGGACGGCGTGTTCGCAAAAGTCTTGAATGAACTCTCAGACCAACTGGCCTCTCCGTTATCCAAGATCTTCAAAACTTCGATGGAGAACGGGGCTTTGCCTACCGACTGGAAGAAATCAATTATAAGCTCCATTTATAAAGATGGCGAGAGAACAGCCCCAAATAGTTTCAGACCAGTGAGTCTCACTAGCATCTGTTGCAAGTTGATGGAAAGAGTAATAACAACGGAGCTGATGCGGCACCTCGAAGAAATCAACTTGCTCAGTCTTCATCAGCATGGATTTCGAAGGGGTCGATCCTGTCTGACCAACCTCCTAGTATCCATGGAGAGCTGGACGAAATCAATTGACATGGGCTTATCAGTCGACGCCGTGTACATTGACTTCAACAAGGCACTTGACAGTGTTCCACACACGACTTATATTTAAACCACGTCAAGGGGGGCGAATGGAAATCTTTTGAAATGGCTAGCCGATTTTCTTACGGGCAGATCTCAGCGTGTGTGTATTGGCAACGCTAAATCGGAATGGGCATCCGTGCACAGTGGCGTTCCGCAGGGAAGCGTTCTGGGTCCAATTCTGTTTTTAATATATGTGAATGACTGCCTGGACTGTCTGGACTGCGAGCGCGTAATGTTTGTCGACGATCTCAAATTGTGGAAATCAATAGAGAAGCCGGAAGATTCTGTACAATTACAATGCAATTTAAATCGCTTGCAGAAATGGTGTGATGAGTGGTGTCTTAGCCTCAATCGTAACAAATGCCAACTTATTCGATTATGTTCTAGCAACAGGAGGCCGTTGAGATTTGAAACTCAGTACTTTATAGGAGGTCACCAACTTGAATCAGTCAACGAGTTAAGAGACCTCGGTGTGTGGATGACGTCAACTCTCAAACCATCGTCTCACTGCGCCAAGGTATCAAAGAAAGCTATGGGTATTTTAGGCGCAATTAGAAGATCCTTCGGAAATTTTGATGAAGAAGTTTTCGGCCGAGTATTTGGCGCATGCGTTCGACCAATGTTGGAATATTGTGTCCAGGCATGGTGTCCCTGGACGAAAAAAGATTACACCCTACTGGAGAACGTACAACGAAGAGCGACCAAGCTGGTCGGCGGATTAAGTAACTTACCTTATGAGAGAAGGCTGCAAAAGCTAAAAATACTTCCTCTCTCTTATAGGCAGTACAGAGGGGATATGATCATGGCCTTCAGGCTCGTCCGAGGGCTAGACTGTGCTCTTCAGTTTGACGATTTCTTCCAAATGGCGCGGACGACAAATCTTCGAGTGCACCAATACAAATTGAAGACGAAATATGCCAGACTCGATTTGCGGTCCAAATTTGTCTCCCACCGCCTGGTTGAGGGATGGAACAAATTGCCGAACTCCGTTGTCTTAGCGGAAAATGTCGAGATGTTCAAAAGAAGACTAGATAAATTTATACTTGATGGTCAAACATTTACATGATATCAATGACTGGTGTAACTGCTATGTAAATATCCGCATGTTTTTTTCATATGTCTATCTGTAAATAGGGTTTTCCAAGGCTCTGCCTCTATCCCTCATATATACTGAATTATTTTAACTAACACAGTTAAAGAAAACTGACCAGGTTGCTGATGGCAAGTTAGCTCGACTCCAGGACTCAACCACTTCGCGACCCGGCGATTGACTGGGTCGCTTGCATCCGTCAGACCGACGTTAGGGCTTGAATTGGTCAGCGAATGAATTGCCGAAACTGTCGAAGTTCGCCGGACTTAGCATTAACGCTAGCAATGCGTGTGTTTTAATTTTCGATGTCGGCTCATGGGTTCGTAGAGAATAGCTAAATTTTGCTAACCCACAAAATTTGTTGACTAGGACGACTGACAGCTGTAGGTCCAATTATTCACTCGAGACACCTTATCCGCGTCCCATGAAGTTGCCAGTGTCAAATAAAGCGGGTATAACCACATGCCCTAAGAACAGTTTCATCGGTTGTCTGTTAATAGTACTAACCTTTATCGAATCTTAAATTTCCATGCTATGATGACCAAAGCTCCTTGTATCGTATTCGTGCAGAGTTTCTTAACTACAAATCCATGCTTTCCGGACGTCGGTGAACGCAATAAAAATCCTGCGCCTTGCCTGATTTCTAAAATTGAATGAGTAACTGCGGCCTTCATCTGCTTGCGCGGTCAACACGAAAGACCATGCTTGAAAAATATTCTCCGAGCCCCAGGGTGGTCCTTCGTTACAGAGATGGCTAAAAGGAAAAATAAGGATTTTAACAAGCCCAAGCTGAAACTGGGAAGAAAATTGAAGAAACAGCATGAAACGGTCATTGATCTTTCCAAGAGGAAAATCATTTTACCCAAGGAAAAGGCATCCCCGCACGTAAGAGCCTTCTGCACGATCACAAAGTTGTAGACAGATTTCCTGCACAGGGAAGCCACCGTTATTCTCGATGAATATGTTAAAAATATTCAGTCTTCTGCGGAACCCGTGCAAATGGCAGCAATCACTTCAGTTCAATCGATTATTGGCCCTTTCTCTTCTCAGATTCGGGCATGCTCCTACGATCCTTTGGTCACACCACCCACGGAGTCTCTGATTAGTGCCGTAAAACGGTTATTTGGGTTTGA